CAACGCGCCCGCCTTGTCGTCCTGCGCGCCGGGCAGGATCAGCCCGCGCCCGCGCCCCCGGGCCGCGCCCCCGCCCCCCATGCACCACCTCCTGGAGCAGTCCGCGGACATGGCGACGGCGCTGCTGGCCGGGGAGAAGCTGCGCGAGCTGATCCTGCCCGGCGCGCAGGACGACAAGGCGGGCGCGTTGGCCGCGCTGCTGCTGCAGCTCAAGCTCGAGCTGCCCTTCGACCGCGTGGTCACCATCGGCACCGTGCTCGTCCCCATCCTGCTGGTCACCCTGGTGTTCACCAAGAACTTCGCAGGTGAGGCTGGGGGCGCGTCCGCAGGTGCCGGGCGCCGGGCGCTCCCCGAGTCCCCGCGCCGGCATCCCTCCGGGGCCTCGCGGTGTTGGCGGCGCCCCGGGGGTCTCCCCGCAGATCCGCAGCCACCACCGCCCTCCCCGCATCGCTGCATGTGCCGCCGGTCGCCTGGGGCTGCTTCTGACCCCCCTCTCCTCCCATGTATTGTTTTTACTTTCCCCGCGCTCCCCGTGAGCCCGGGCGGACCCGCCCGGCCCTGGTGGTCTCAGGCACAAATGAGACTTGGGGTCTGGCAGGGGAGACCAGGAGGGGGAGTGGGCCGGCTCTGAGGGCAGGAGGAGTGGCCAGGTGGGGACCAGAAGAGGCTGTTACCCCTGAAGCCAAAGGCTGTCAGAGCGCGGGCTGCGGGCAGAGCCAGAGCGGCAGGACCGGCAGGGAGGGGCCCTGGGACCCGGCGGGGTCTGGTCAGCTTCAGGGGGCGGCCTTACTCCGGGCACTGAGAGCCCAGAAGGTTTGCGGCAGGACCCTGAGGCCAGGCGAGCCTCCCCCGGGGGCTGGGCAGCGAACCCACCTGGCCAACCAGGAGGCCCACGCAGGCGGGATAGGACAGTGACAGGAACCAGTGCGGTGGATGCTGTGAGAGGCTGAGGCCTTAAGCTGACAGACGTGGGGGCGCTAGGAGGACCTCCCCACAAGTGACCCCGAGTGAGGCGGCCTGGGAGGCACCGGGAGCAAGGTGACAGAAGAGTGGCCTCCCTAAGGAGCGGAGCTGGGCAAGGAGAGGTGGGCGGTGGCCCACCCAGATCTGGCGGGTCCAGGGAGGCCCCCCGCGGGCCTTCGGGCCAGGCTTGAGGGCCAGAGGTGCCTGTCCGTGGCAGAGGGGGCAGGGGTCCCTGTGCAGCCCTCAAGGAGGGCTGTCCCCTGAGTGACACCGGCAGACATTCTCAAACTCTGCATTGGCTCTTTCACAAAGGGCTCGATTTTTAGGGGTCCCTATGACCTGGGAACCTGCCAGACCTGTGGTGGCCATGTGCAGGCCACCTGATCAGAGACTGGGGGCCTCTGCAGTTTCTCTTTTCGGACACGAGTGCCCAGACACTCAGACACTCCTGGGACAGGACACGCTCCCAGGGCCGGGGTAGCACAGTGCAGGGGCAGGTGTGACCCACAGTGTCTCTCAGGGCACATAAGTGTGTCGGGTTTCTGAGATGACTGCAACTGGTCGACTCAACTGTCATAGTCTGGAGATGGAGCCTCCAAAACAAGGTGTGGGTGGGGCCTCTCTCCCAGAGGCTCGGGGGAGGGTCCCTCCCGCCGCTCCAGCTTCCGGGGCTGCCTCACCCCGGCTCTGCTTGCCTGTCCACATGGGCACCCTCTCCCTGGGCACGTGCTCCAAATTCCCTCTTCTTACTAGGCCACTGGTCATTGGCTTGGGGCTCCTACTCCAATGGGACCTTATCTCTCTCTTTTTTTAAGATGTATTTAATTGAGAGAGAGAGGGTGAGGCGCGCCCAGCGGGGAGGCGGAGGGAGAGGGCGCGTCCCAAGCAGCCTCCCTGCTGAGTGCACCGCTAGGACACCTCACCGACCGAGCCCCCCCGGGTGCACACGGTGTGCGCCCGGTGTGACCTTCTCAGGGTCACGTTTCCCAGCAAGGTCATAGTTACAGGTACCAGGGGTTGGAACTTCAACGTCCTTTGCAGAGAACACAATTCTACCCGCTACAGACGTGCACGGTGGGGCAGGCTCAGGACAGTCATCCTCAGGTGACCCCCCCCCAAAGACAGGGCCTCTGTTCTCATGCTGTCCTGAGTCCAGCTCACCCCACATGGACCCTCAGCACCTCTTCATGCCCGGTCAGGCCTGGGCCGCCAGGGTCTCCCGAGTTCACCCTTCATCACCTGTCCTGGTAGCTCCCTGGGCTTTGCTGTGCAGGCCTGCCCCCCACGGCGCCCCCGTACCGACCTGTGCTTGCACGTGGACATATCTGTGCCCGCATGGACAAGGCAGGCTTTCTGGGCAGTGGCGGGCAGGCTGGCCGCTGCTGCCTGGCGTCCCGGGCCGTGCTGCATGTCCGTCGAACTCACCTGCCTCAGCACCTGCGTACGCCTGAGGGACCCTTGTCCTAGGTCACAGAACATAGGAGGGCTGCCCCACTCCCCTCAGGGACCTAGATTAGGGTTCAAGGCAGGACAGGACACGGGACGCTGAGCGGGCACATGCAGCGAGCGGTCTCTCAGTGCTTCAGACAGAACGCAGAAGCATCCCCAGCGCCTTCCCCAGACCCGGGGACAGGAAGGGCGCGGGGGGGAACCATGCGTCCACAGGCTGAACTGGGGAGGGCCTACTGACACGCTAACACATGGGGACAGCTCCGGTGAGGGTGCGAGGAGGAAGCGAGGTCAGAAGTGCTGACCCTCAAAGGGCACCAGAGACGCCTCCATCCACCACCCCCGGCCCCCCCCGCAGTGCTGCATCCGGCCTCCATCGCTGACGCCCCAGCCCCGGGGCACAGGCCAGTGTGCCCTGCCACTGCCGGAGGGATCCACGCCCCAGCTGCTAGGACCTGTGGAGCCAGGGGCTGTGACACTCACCCCACCCCCCACCCTTACTCGGGTCCTCGCTGCAAGGGGACCCCTGCAGCAGGGGGACACCCACTCTCTGCACCCTGATTTGCTCATCAGGGACACGATGGTAAACGCGTACTGGCTACAGAGTTGGGGTGAGCAGCTGACGAGGCAGCACTGGCCCCCTAGCCTAAACCTCCCCCGTCTGGAGGGCAGCGGACGCAGGAAGACTCCCGTGTTTCCTGGCCAGAGTTGCCACGAGCAGACCCCTCACTCTGCCAACCCACTCAGCAGTGGACCGAGAGGCCGCCCCGATGGGTCGTCGGGTTCCGCAGATGTCCTCCAGCCCCGCACAGGGAACAGCCAGCTGCTTTTTCTTAAAGGAGCCAGGTAGCTGGGCCCCACGTGTCCTGGGTGCCTCTCTAGCCTGGGGGCATGTAGGTGTCCCAAGAGTGCGCGCCCTGTCCGCAGAGGGGAGAAGGTAGGTGCTGTGCCCCATGGGGCCTGGCGCACGTGGGCTTCAGGGCCTGTGTCGAGTTCTCGGAGGGCCCGGGGAGCCAGAGAGGCTGCCTGCTCTCTGGGGAGGGGGTGCTGCACGTCTCGGGGGCCAAGTCCCCCTGACCCTGGCCTGCAGCCTCTGAGGGTCTCACCCTCCCTCCTGCGTGGGGGTCCCACCCCCGCAGGGCCCCCAGCGCCGTGGGAGAACGTCTGTTAAGGGGGCAGGACATACGCAGGTCTTGGCAGAGGAGGCAGCTGGCCCGGGGCCGGCCACCCCGTGTTAGCTCCCGCCTGGTGCGCTGAGTGACCACAAACTCAGGGGCTCAAAATAACACATGACCCTAGAGTTCTGCGGCTCAGAAGCCTGGTGGGCGTTACAGGCGAGCGCGTGGGGCTCGGTAGGGCCTAGCTGCTTCTGGAGGCCCTGTTGTTCGCCTTTTCCGGTTTCTAAAGACCCTGTGCTCCCTGGCTTGTGGGCCGTCCTCCTCCTTCTAGCCTAGCCCAGTGGCCTCTACTTTCTCCCTCACATCCTTGACTCTCTCGCCACGCCCCCAGGACCCCTGTGATCACATTGGGGCCATCCAGTGATCCAGGATCATCCCCCCACCCCAGCCCTCACATAATCCCCCTTGCAGAGTCTGTGTAAGGTTCTGTGTTTTAGCACGTGACAGCTTGGGTAGCCCTGTGTGGACGTCTGTTAGGGCCCTGGAGTTTGAAAAGGGTCTGCACCTCTCAGCGGGGGGGGGGGGGGGGGGGGGCGGGGGCATGAGCCCAGTCTGGGGCTAGGATCCCACCAGCCAAAGCCTGTAGGAGGGCCGCTGACCCCTGGCCTCTGCTGTGAGAGGGGCTCCTGCTGGCCTGGCGGCAGCGTGGCCAGACTTTTGGGGCCGTGAACATGGGGGCCAGTGCGGCAGAGGGACAGCTCCAAGCCTGCCAAGTGTTACACTTTGGGGAAGTGTTCAAAGCCCAGCATAGCTCCAGACATGTTCTCTGGCTCTTGCTTTGTGTCCATCGTCATCTGGAAAGGAAAGGAAAGTTCAGAGATGGGTTTTTTTCCTGCAACTTGGAAGGTCTCCACCGTTCCTGGTGTCGACCCTGCCGTCCTGGGGAGGACTTCCTGTCCAAGTCCAGGTCACCACCTGGGCCCATCCAGCACCCAGGACTCCTGGGTCTGCTCTTCTCCAGGATAGTGGGTCTGGGAGAGACACCCCATACCCCTCAAGGGCAGGCAGGACCCACTTTTGCGCCACCGTAACTGCCTCTGGCCAGGTAGGGACTGACCAGGCCTTCCACCCTCCTGAAGACAGAGCCCCCTGGCAGAGCAGCCCCAGGGCGGGTAGGTGTGTGGAGTGGCCTGGCCCGGCCGCCTCCCCTGTGGGACTGGGTGTCCCCCACATGTACGCAGACTGTACACATAGAGAGGGACTCCAGGCTTGCAGTGCAGGTCAGTCCCGGGGGGGCTGTACCCCCACCCTGTGCCCCGGCCAGCCGCTATATGTGCGGGGGTCTCCAGGGTGAGACCCCACACCCAGCTACCACAGTCATACAGGGGACCGTGCATCTCCTGGGACCCGGGCGTTTCTGCTAGGGGAACAGCCGTCCCTGGTGTGTCTGGTGCATCCCCCTCGCCCCCTCCCCAGCACCCCAGCGCCCCAGCCCGAGTGTCCTCTCTGCCCTCAGAGGAGCCCATTTACTGCTACACGCCGCACAACTTCACTCGCGACCAGGCGCTGTATGCTCGCGGCTACTGCTGGACGGAGCTGCGGGACGCACTGCCCGGCGTGGACGCCAGCCTGTGGCCGTCGCTGTTTGAGCACAAGCTGCTGCCCTACTCGCTGCTGGCCTTCGCGGCCATCATGTATGTGCCGGCGCTGGGCTGGGAGTTCCTGGCCTCCACCCGCCTCACCTCGGAGCTCAACTTCCTGCTGCAGGAGATCGACAACTGCTACCACCGTGCCGCTGAGGGCCGTGCCCCCAAGATCGAAAAGCAGATCCAGTCCAAGGGGCCTGGCATCACGGAGCGCGAGCGGCGCGAGATCATCGAGAACGCCGAGAAGGAGAAGAGCCCCGAGCAGAACCTGTTCGAGAAGTACCTGGAGCGCCGCGGCCGCAGCAACTTTCTGGCCAAGCTGTACCTGGCGCGGCACCTGCTCATCCTGCTGCTCAGCGTGGCGCCCATCTCCTACCTGTGCACCTACTACGCCACCCAGAAGCAGAACGAGTTCACGTGCGCGCTGGGCGCGTCCCCCGACGGGCCGGCGGGCGGGGGCCCCGCGGTGCGCGTGAGCTGCAAGCTGCCGTCGGTGCAGCTGCAGCGCATCGTGGCGGGCGTGGACATCGTGCTGCTGTGCGCCATGAACCTCATCATCCTCGTCAACCTCATCCACCTGTTCATCTTCCGCAAGAGCAACTTCATCTTCGACAAGCTGCACAAGGTGGGCATCAAGACGCGCCGGCAGTGGCGCCGCTCCCAGTTCTGCGACATCAACATCCTGGCCATGTTCTGCAACGAGAACCGCGACCACATCAAGTCGCTCAACCGGCTGGACTTCATCACCAACGAGAGCGACCTCATGTACGACAACGTGGTGCGGCAGCTGCTGGCCGCGCTGGCCCAGTCCAACCACGACGCCACGCCCACCGTGCGCGACGCGGGGGTGCAGACGGCCGACCCCAGCGCCAACCCCGCCGAGCCCGACGGCGCCGCCGAGCCGCCCGTCGTCAAGCGGCCGCGCAGGAAGATGAAGTGGATCCCCACGGGCAACCCGCTGCCACAGCCCTTCAAGGAGCCGCTGGCCATCATGCGCGTGGACAACAGCAAGGCCGACAAGCCCAAGCCCGTGCGCCGCAAGACGGCCACGGACACGCTGATCGCGCCGCTGTTGGACGCGGGCGCGCGCGCCGCGCACCACTACAAGGGCGGCGGGGCCGACGCGGGGCCCGCGCCCGACAAGAAGCACGCGCGCCACTTCTCCCTGGACGTGCACCCCTACGTCCTGGGCACCAAGAAGGCCAAGCCCGAGGCCGTGCCCGCCGCCGCCCTGCCCGCCTCCCGGAGCCAGGAAGGGGGTTTCCTGTCCCAGGCGGAGGAGTGCGCGCTGGGCTTGGCCGCAGCACCCACCAAAGGTAGGCGGCTGGGGACCCCCGGCCCCGGGGAAGGCAGCCCCCCGCCTCCCGCCTCCCCGCGCGGTTCTCTGCAGACCCGGCATCTGGGAACCGTGTGGCATCTGGGAACCGTGTGTGCGGGGCGGGGGGCTGGGGAGGGGGAGCAGCTGGGTGGAAGAGCGGGCTGGGCGGCCAGGGGGCGGCCTTGGGGCAGAAGGCAGGCGTGAGGGGCCCTGCCCCGCAGACAGGAGGAACGCTAGCAGGAGGGCCCCAGGGGACATGACAGGAGGCTGTTCAGGCTCTAGAGAAGGTTCTGGAAATAGGCCCTGCTGCTCCTGAGGCGGCGGGAGGTTTGGCCCACGCGGGTTGGAGCCTGCAGAGAGGGTCTTGGGGCAGCCCCATGTGGCTGAGGAGGCAGGAGGAGGGAGAATCAAGCCCTCCCACGGCGCCTGGGGGGCCTGAGGCTGAGCGGGGTCCTCGGTGAGCAGCCTCTGCCAGGCGGGGTCCGGGGGGGGGGGCAGGCACGGGGGGAAGAGGTGGGCAACCTGCAGGGTGTGACCTGCCCCTGTCCTCGGCCATTTGCAGACACTCCGCTCCCTGAGAAGGAGATCCTGTACCCAGCAGAGCCAGCCCGGGCCACGCTTCCTTCCGGGGGCCCGTTTCACGTCTGCTCGCCCCCAGCGGCCCCCACCACGGCCCCTCTCTCGCCAGCCAGTCTGGGCAAAGCCGACCCCCTCGCCATCCTGAGCCGCAACGCCACGCACCCGCTACTGCACATCGGCACGCTGTACGAAGCCCGGGAAGAGGAGGACGGGGGTCCCCGCGCTGCCCCGGACGTGGGCAGCCTCATTGCCATCCCCCCCCCGCAGCAGATCCTCATCGCCACGTTCGACGAGCCGAGGACGGTAGTGAGTACCGTGGAGTTCTGAGGAATGGGGCTGTCCGGGCCACCGCCATCCCCTCCGCGTGCCCAGGGAGTGCCGCTGACCCCAGCCCAACGTGGACGGGGCCTCTGCTTCACCCAGCACTGCCCGCCCCTCGGCCTCCTGTCCGCATGCCACAGGGCTGACACCTTGCCCACCCGGCCCCCAAGACAGCATCGCTGGCGTGCTGGCTGGGCCGGGGGCTGGCCTTGAGCCCGGCGGAGCCCCCCCCACAACCAGCCAGAAAGGCCTGGAGCCGCCCCCCCCCACCCCCAATCAGGCACTCGGCTGCGAGGTGAAGAGTTTATTTTTTTAGTCAATTCTGTCTTGGGCCCAGGCTGAAGCAGGACAGCTCTGGTCCTGAGTCTGAAAGGAAGCTGGGGGTGATCCCACCACCAGGCCTGGCTGTGCCCCAGGGGCCGTGCTCAGGGCTCGCTCCTGCACTGGGAGGTGCCGGGGCCCCCTCCATCAGACCGACATGCACTTTCTCCCTGTCTCCCAACCTGCCTGTACTCTGCTTTACTATGATCACTGTAACTACCGAGTGTGCGCGCTGCCAGGCACAGGGCGGTGTGTGCATGGGTGCGTGACCGAGAGGACGAGGACGCCAGTGTGCATGGATGTGTGTGTGAGTGGGCGTGAGCGTGGACGCACGGGGGTGTGATCGGGCACGGGGCTGAGACGGTGTGGACGCCCGTGTGCAAGGCAAGGAATCCAACGCAATAACCATGTCCCCCCACCCTGGCCACCAGCCCCCCAACCGAGGCCCCACGTGGCTTCCCGTGGGCACCCAGGGCTGGCGCGGAGGGTCTGTCCCTATTACCTCAGCCACGGTGACAACGTGACAGTATTAACAAGGTAGCACCGAGCAGATCAATAAATATTATTCTGATACCGCCTGAGTCCCGTGTGGTCCGTCCTGCGGGAGGCCGGTGCTCTGGCTCGCCTTCCTGCGTCTGGACGAGCTGCTTCCTGGTCACCTTGGGGGCCCTGCTGTACCCACCCTGAGGCACCTTGGGGGCCCTGCTGTACCCACCCTGAGCACATGGCTGTCCCTTGCGGTTGACCTGCCATGACATCTGACTCTGAGGTTCTCACTCCGGGCCTAGGGGGCAGATCAGGTGAGCCCTGCCCTCCCTGCGCTCACACACTCAGCAGAGGCAAAGGCGGGAGCCCCCAGGAGACTGACCCCTCCATCAAATGTGTGGGGACAGGGGCCTGCTGGCTGCACTTAGGGGGACAGGGACACCAAGAACCCTTCCTGGAGGAGTTCCCCTTGATGTGGTTTGGGGGGGCCCCTTCTCCACGGACCTGGGGCAGGAGGCCTTCCTCACTGGGCCCAGGACTTGAGTGGGACGAGGCTAGTCTTCCGGGTACACCGGGGGCCACCTGGCCTTCGGTCCACGGCTGGTGACCCCCAGAATCTGACATGCTCTCCTCGGAGCCAGGTAGCTAGGACAGCCAGGCCAGAGACCTGTGGACCCTAGAGCCAGTGAGGGCTGCCCTCCCGTCGTAGGGGGCCTGCTGAGACGGGCATGGGCCCATGGGCTGTACTACACAGGGAACCTGCCCAGCCTAGGCCCCGGAATCTCCGTGGTGCCCAGAGCTGGGCAGGCCGACCTTCCTGGAGCTGGGTCATTCTACAGGGACACAGACAAGGGGACTGTATCCTTCCATGGGTTTTAAATGTGGTTTTATTATCACTCGGGGCTGCGGAGGCCTGCGACCAGGAGACAGCTGCCGTCGGGAAGCTAGCTCATCCCTCACAGCTCCGGGGCAGGGGGGCAGGCCGTGCCCAGGCTGGGGGCCCCTGGGGAAGCACCAGGAGGCAGAGCGGGAGGGACGGGGGCAGGAAGGAACGGACAAGGCAGGGGAGCGGGCTGAGGACTGGCTCGCGTGGATACTGTCCGCGGGCTCCGGGCGCCCTGGTTGTGGGGCACCTGCCCTGGGGTTGGGGGCGGGTGAGGGAGGCCCCGAGGCCGCGAGCCCCACAGAGGGGCGGTCGGCTGGTGGGCACATGGGAGTTTGTTGTTTCTAGGAATTAGCCCTGGGAGGGGCCAACCTTCTAGTGCCCACTTGGCCCAAGGTCAAAACAGAAAATAAAAAGGCGTCATTGGTACGCCCTGTCCCCAGAGAGCTCGCAGCCTCACCTGAGCCGGGACACCTCCTGGCAGCATCCCGGGCTGGGAAGTCCACTGCCCCTTGGGTCGGCCCTCACCATTTTCAGTGTCCAGGGAAGGGACCCCACATGCCCACGTGTGGCCTGTGGCCAGTTCTGCAAAGTGGGAGAAGCCCCTGGTCCCTCAGCAGCGCCCCCCGCCCACCTTGGTCCCACCCTGTCGGCAGGCTCCCTAACCCTCTGAGCAGAGTGGTTGTGCCCACCCAGGGCACTCCAGTCATGCTGGACTGGGGCAGCAGCTCGTGCCACGGCCCCCCTGCCGCTCCCTGGGTAGGGCTGGAGTCCGGCCCAGCCTCCCCAGCCACCCAAGGCCACCCTCACCTCCCCACCCTGCCCATCCACTTGCAGAGCTCCGCTGGGCCCCACACAGGTCATTCCTGCCCCGGTACCCCACTGACAGCACTCACAGTGAGACGGTCCCAGAGCCCAGCAGGGGCGTCGGCTGCCCGGGCCACGCCTCACGCACCCTTCCTCCTGCCAGTGAGCACGGGACCGCGGGCTGAGCAATGTTCACACACACAAGTCTGAGTCCGGTGAGCGCACGCCTGCCGCGGAGGCCCCCAGCGCAGCCCCTTCCGTGTCTCTGGGGAGACGGCTCTGCCAGGCTACCGGCCACCTGTGCCCTGGGCCAAGGCCCAGCAGGACACTGCAGAGCAACGCTCACCCCAGAGTTCTGTCCTTCGGAGCACGCGCAGTGCCCTCCTCCTGGGCCGAGCCCTGGTTCGCTGGGGAAGAGAAGCGCCCCAGTCATCATCTCATAGCCGCCAAGCTCTCGCTGCAGGTGCCAAGGATGCCACCTTAGCCCGTGAGTGCAGGCCACCCCGTCGTCTCTGGTGTCGGGCTGAAGGCCCCCCACACCACCTCCCCTCTCCTCACCCCTTCCCTCTAGCCAGGGCCCTGTAGTGGCTGGGGGCAACTCTCCCGGTCCCAGAAAAGGAGAGGCTCCCACACAGGCAAGTCTGGAACGTGGGCCTCTTCCTGCCTTGCCAGCGCCGTGTGGGCGCGGCCCCCAGACTCACTCCAGATCCACCGCGCACCGCCTGGCAGACACCTGTGCTCTCCAGGGAAGGGAGTCTAAGGGTTGGGACGCAGACCTGAGCCGGCAGAGGGACAGAAAGGTAACTGGAGAGAAGGAGCATGCACCAAGGAGGACAGAGGCCACCCTGAGGCCAGCTGGGCCCTTTTGGGACCGAGAAGCCGTAGGAGCGAGGTGGGCAGCGAGCCTGGCCCGGAAGCACCTGCCTGGAAGCCCCACACTCAGGCTCTTGCACAGAGCTCAGCGGGCAAACAGCCCAGCCTACCAGCACCCAGCCTGCCAGCACCCAGCCTGCCAGCAAGAGGGACTGCGGATCATCTCCCCCACCAGCCGGACCCCAGGACCACCGCCGTCAAAGAACATGGGAACCTGGGATCCCTACAAGTCACCAGGCCCTCTCATCCTGGAAACTGAGGGGCAGCCCAGTGCCCAGCTCTGAGTGCTGGCGGATGGTCCCAGCAGGGTCAGGCCAGTCCAGACCCGCAGAGGAGGGGAGGGGCTGGACTGGCCTAAACCCTCACTCCCAGGTAGCTCCAGACTGAGGGGCGACGGCCTGCTGCAGGCAGTCCCTGCAGCGGCCCCCATCCAGCCTGGCTTGTCCTATGGCCGGAGGTGGTCACAGGCGTCAGTGGAACTGGCTGGGGGCAGGGGACAGCTGGGGGTCTGCTTCGCCAGCAGGCAAGCCATCAGCACCCCCCTAGCCGCAGGGTGCCCAGCCCCACAGCCACCCTTTGAGGACGGAGGAGGGCCCCGGCAGGGCAACAGCGCCCTGGCCCCCTCCAGGGCCCCGGCCCTGGGGGCACGTGGCTGGGGGCACTGCACGTGGGGAGGAGAGGGAGGGGGCCTCGGGACACCCCACTGGGGGTGGTCGTGGGCTCTGGGAGTCCCCCTCCCACGCCCCGCCGCCCTCTTGGCCAAATGGGGACGACGAGGGGCGGTTGGGACCCCTCCGCTGGCAGCGGGCCGGTGGCTGCAGGCTCGCCGGGGTCCGCCAGTCCCGAGACTAGCCCCCGAGCACCCCTCCGGGGTTTGGGGTCCAGGTCTCAGCCTGGTCGGCAGCAGGACCACTGAGGCCTGCCTCCCAGGGGACTGCACCTACCAAGTTGAGGAATGGCCGGGGCGCCGGCGCGCGGGAGTCTCAACACCCCCGACCCAGGTGGAGTCACGTGGGCGCCCTCCGCACCCCATCCCACTACGGACTGCCCCTTTCGTGGGCGATTGACACAAAGCGTCTCCGTGGACGTCGTGGGAACACCTTCCCTTTTGCAGACTGGGACCGGCGCTCAGAGAATTTAAGAGTGCTTTGCAAGGCCGCCGGGCTGCCACGCAGGGCCGGGGACTCGAACTCACGGCTCCACAGTCGCCTCCTTCCTCCTAAAGCCTGCGGCGCCGGGGGCGGGGGGGTGGGGGGGTGGGTAGGGCTTTCTCGCGCGCGGCCCCCTGGGAAGTGTAGTTCGCGGGCGCTCGCGCATGGCCCTGGGAAGTGTAGTCCGTGGGCGCTCGCGCTCGGACCTCTGGGAAGTGTAGTCCGGAGGCGCAGACAGAGCGCGCCTACGGAGCCGACGGGCGGTGCGTGGAACTGCGCTTCCCAGCATGCCGCGCGCCGCCCGCCCCCGGCCCCTGCCCGTCCGGCCGTACCCGCCCCCGGTCCCGGCCCCGGTCCGCCCCGTCCGGTGGGGCGACTGGCCGCATGGAGGCCGGCTGAGGAGCGCCGCCCCGCCTCGGTACGCTGCGCGGCGCGGGCCCCGGCTGGCGGGCAGGGGTCGGGGTCGGGTCGCGGCCTGGGTCGCGGGCCACCTCGCTCTGGACCAGGCCCAGTCAGCCCCCAGCGCGGGGTCTGCGGCTGGAAGAGTCCGCCCAGTCCTGTCCCGAGGGCGCTCGGGGCAGGGCCGGCGGCCGGCGCTGCAGGGGACAGGGCGCGGGGAGCGAGCTGGCGGGCTCCGCTGGGGCGGGCCGGGGGCCGCGGCCTCTCCCCCCGGAGACCCCGGGCGCTTCCCGAGCGCCGGCGGCCTCTGCCCTTCAGGCCGGGCAGCGGGGCTGCGTCCGGCGGAGTGCGGCGGGCTGTCCCGCGGCGCGCGCGCCCGAACTTCGGGGCCTGCGACAGCCGCACTTTGTTTCCACGCAGCCGCGCGCGGAGGTGGAACTTCTGTGCCGCCAAGTGCCGCGCGGGCGCGTCCGCGGAAACTCTCCGGGGCGAGGCTGCCGGGGCGTGGGCGTCTCGGGAGCCGCCAGGGGCTCGGCTCGGAGGTCCAGGCGCCTCACGAGCGGGTTGGGTGGTTTCCAGGCGGAATCCCGCGGGCTTGGGGTGCCCTGGAGAGGGAGATGTGCGGCCGCCAGGCGCCCCGCCCCCCGGGGCAGGCTCCGCGCTCTCTGGGTCTTCCGCCCCTTTTGCCCCTGCTCACCCCCTCGCAGTGCGGCTGGAGGGGATCCTTGACCGGGGACCACGGGTCCGTCTCGCAGAATGGCCCTCGTGCCGTGGTGTCTGAGGCTGCCAGGAGAGGGCCTGGCAGGGTGAGTGGGCAGACCCCTACACAGCGCCCTTCGATGGTGCTCAGTGCGGGGGCCCAGCCCTGGGCAGTGGCCAGGCTCCAGGAGAGTCAGCCGGGTGTGCCGGGAAAGGAGCCGTTCAGGCCTCCAGCGCAGATACAAGCTGGCATATGTCCTCTATCCCAATCCCAA